GCCTCACCGTGCCGGGTTATTCATCTGTGAAGCTAGCTAATTCTGGCAGAGGCTTGTTATACTGTGGTTGACGGGCGGTGGGAACTTCACTCCCCTCCCTGGGAGGTGTCCTGCACACGCCTCACCAGATGGTTCTTTCTCCCAGGATACTGTGATTGATGGATTTGGGTTACAAGAATGTACATGTGATGGGAATCTGGGAAAAATGCCCAAAATTCTCCGAGAGAGTTAAAGGCGCTCGCTCCATCCTGTAATTAAACCGTTCCCCTCTTTTACCCTCTTCACCTGTTTCTTGTGATTATCTGATTTTTACTGTACACTGTGAAGATTTCACTAATAAACAGCTTTTTAAAAAAATCCAAAATATTTATCTATCCCCTCACTTCCACTATTTAACCTGGTTCCTTCATTCTATAGACAACTTTCAGGCTCTAGAAATGAAGGTATACCATGTCTGCATATGTGTCTGTGTCATTCAATACTGTTGTCAAGCAGGTTTGAAGGTGTAAATTGTAGCGCTCTGAGACGCCGTCCGGCGTGGAGGGTGCTATATAAATCCAAGTTGTTGTTGTTGCAGTAAATCGATGCAGCACCCAATGTTTTTGTTTGGAGTCTGTTTCATTATCCACTGCACGTCCACGAGGATCTTTAAGATTTATAATGTCTGTAAACTAATGTACAAAAACAGTTTTATAATTCAGTTGCTTTCAAAGAATGAGAGGTTCAAGGCCAGCCAGGCATATTAGATCAACCAGACTGATTCCAATTTGGCTGCAGGCACTCTGTCTACCTGGCGTGAGATCAGAGGTTTCCTATAGATGGTGCTGTAAGCCAGTTAAGCAGACTTACAAAGGAGTGAGACAGAAAATCCATTCAACCTGTTCAGCAGCATGTGTTGGTTGAAAAGCTATCAGAGCGGAAAACAGAACAAGGCCGTGGATACTCGAGGCTCCACTTACTGGCACTGGAGAACGTCTATTAATATTAAATGAAGGCTGAAAAGTGGATCTGGGTCCAGAGCTAGCTTGCCATGAAAAAATAAATCATCTGGTTTTACGCTAATTAATTTTTGTCAGTCACCTTCACTGCGGTTTGTCTGGTTTTCATACACTGGCCTGTTGGGAAGTCAGAAGCAATTAGCAGTCTCTGTCCTCCAATGTTCAATTAAGGCTTTGTGCTTCTGCACAACTACAACAACAACTTGCATTTATATAGCGCCCTTCACCCGGGGTAGCGTCCCAGAGCTCTTGACAGTGGTGGAGTCTGACAGCAAACCAGGGGGAGAGGGAGGTGTCTGTAAGCACAATCAAAAAGGAAGGTCTTTAGGGGGGATTTGAAGGTGGGGCGGGAGGGGGCAAGTCGGAGGGATTGAGCGAGAGAGTTTCGGGCCATAGCGGCTGAAGGCACGGCCACCGATGGTGGGCGAGGGACAAACAGGAGGCTGGAACCAGATGAGCGGAGGCAAGGTTTGGTGGAGTGGGGGGTAAGCAGGTCAGATAGGTAGGGAGGTGCGAGGAGATGAAGGGATTTGAAAACGAGTGAAGAGGATCTTGAAATCGATCCGTTCGGTAATTGGGAGACAGTGAAACCTGGCAAGGACTGGTGTGACGGGTTAGGAGTTTTGTGTGGGTGAGCATCCGGGCAGCAGAGTTTTGGATTAATTGAATTTTGTGTATGGTGGAGCTGGGAAGACCAGTGAGGAGGGTATTGGAATAGTCCAGCTGCAAAGTGACGAAGATGTGGATGAGGGTTTCAGCTGCGTTTGTTGTGAGGTATGAACGGAGGTGTGCAATGTGACGGAGGTGGAAAAAAGTGTTCCTGGTCAGGCAACAGATGTGTGGTAGAAAGGAGAGCTGTGGATCAAACCTGACAGTTAAGTTGCACATGGGTTTGGAGAGTCTGAGAGAGAGCTGGGGAGGTTGAGGTTTTCAGACCTGCAGGAGAGAAGACGTTGACGGGAACCAAATAGTATAGCTTCCATCTTCCATCCAGCAGATATTCAGCTGCAGGAAGTTTGGACTCATCCAGGCCTTAATTGCACACTCCACCGTGCTAAGCCAGTCCGGAACCTTGGGGTCTTGTTTGACCCTCAACTATCCTTTCTACCCCTCAACTATCCATTCTACCCCACATCTGCACCATGACCCGCTCTGCCTTCCCCCATCGCCACAACGTCGCCCGGTTCCGACACTGTCTCACACCGCAGGTCGCCGAAACCCTCATACACGACTTCATTACATCTAGGCTCGACTATGCAAACTCACTGCTTGTCGGCCTCCCCAACTCCTCCCTCCACAGGCTGCAGATCATCCAGAACTCTCCCGCACTAGGCTCCGCGACCTTATCACCCCCATCCTCGCCCAACTCCACTGGCTTCCCATCACACAGAGGATACAGTTCAAGATTCTGGTCCTCACCTTTTATGCCCTCCATGGTCTTGCTCCCCCCTACCTCTCTGAACTCCTACCACCCTGTTCGCTCCCTCCGCTCAGCGGGCTCCGCCTGCTTCACGTCCCCCACCTTGCTCGCCCCACTATTGGCGGACGGGCCTTCCGCCACTCTGCACCCACCCTCTGGAACTCCATCTCGCAGTCCCTCCGTCTTGCCCCTCCCTCGTCACCTTCAAGACCCTCCTCTTCGACTGTGCTATCGATCTTCCTGCTTCTCCCCTCCTGCCCTCCCCCACTCCCTAGCTCGGGTCCGTAACTCTGTTGGTCCAGCGCCTTGGGACGTCCTCCCAACGTCAAAGGCGCTATAGTTAGTAACAATTTGTCCTACGAGTCAGAAAGTTGTGGGTTCTTTGAATTCACGCAGTCTGGGCTGACATTACAACGTCAGCGATGCTGTTCTTTGGATGAGATGTGAAACTGAGGTCCTGTCCTGCCTGTTCAGTTGGACGTTAAAGATTCCATGACACTAATTGAAAAAAGGGAGTTTCTCCCAGTGTCCTGACCAATAATCCCCCAGATAAAATTAGTCATACACTTTGTGGCTGTTTGTGGAATATTGCTGTTTCTACAACTTGCCCAGTCACTGCACATTGCAGTTTATCCTGTGAATCGCTTTGAGACATCTTCCCGATGTGAAAGGCTTTATATCAAATGCAAAAATTGTATTTTTATATTGTGCAGACACACACACATATACAATTTTGCACACAACCACATGCACATTACACCATGTAGGAATTTCTTATTGACTATTTGTGGCCTTGTTATCTCCATGGCAGCACTGCCAAGCAGTTTTCATTGTTAGATCCAAGGAAGTCTCCATTGGGAACCGTCAGAGTTCTGAGATGTCCCCTCTAACAAACACATTCACGCCCACAAACACACACATTCAGAGCCACATCCAATCTGACAACTACATACAAGTGCAACCACCCACTGCCGCCCACAGTGGCACACCCACAAACACACACTACGGATGAGTAATGCTCTTGTTTGAGTAATTAAGATTCAGCAAATTAAGTCTGAGTTGCTGATGGCGTTCTCTCTCATTAAAAACATCCAATCGTTTCTTTCTCTGAAATTGAAAGGAACATCCCATACGTTTCAATAACAGCCACGTCCTAAAATAATCCTTTCAAATGTGCAGCCCCCATGTAAGAATAAATGCGTCCTCTCCTCAGCATTTCTCTAATTCAACAGAGGTTAAGGTCGAGGTATAAAGACACACCTCTGTGTTACGTGACATGACTGGTGAATGGGCTGTGCTGGTCTCTGCATCACAGCCACCTTACTTTCCACTTCAATGATATTTTAATAAAAACGACTCCATCCACAGATTATGGAGACCAATGGCAATGCCCATTTAAACAGACTGAAATCCCACTGGGAAATGCTGATGGATTGCAAAGACGTTTTTAAATACCTTCCAAAAATACCACACCTCTTTATTTAATATAATGCAACACATCTTAAAATAAAAATTATTATGTTTTCCACTCACAATAGTTCACAATGTAAGGAGGCTTGGAATGAGTTAAAGCCATTCGGCTCATCCATCGCCCTCTCCTTCCACCGTCACATAAAGCCAAACCTACCGTGGACTTCACTTGGCTGTCTCTTTGGGTGGAAAGTGCTGCATAGTTACTCCTGAACCCCAAAGGTAAATCAAGTCAAAGCTCTAAAACATTCATCGACCCCTATTTCTTCACAATTCAACACTGGCTTCCTTCTCTTTCTTGGATGCTGGTGCATGCTTTTGAAGTCTTCCAGCATCCTGTCAATGATTGACTTAAATGCTCCACTCTCAGAAAACAGACATCAGGGTCAAACTACGATGATTCATAACAGAATTCTTATTAAGGAATCATGTTGCAAATGAGGACTTCCAGGAGCTGGGAGTAGATCACCCTCAGGTACTGTTCGCCCTCAAAAGACAACAGTCACTGGATTTTTACAGTGTATCCTGTGAAGCACTTTGGGATGACCTTCCAATGTGAAAAGTTTTTATTTATTATTACTTCTGAAATGGAGTTCGATTATACATTGATAGAAATTCTGGTTGTGAATCTGTTTGATATAGTGCTTTATCATGCTGAAATGTCTTAAAGCACTGCACACAACAGTCAAACCCACCAGAATCCTCACACATTTACCCACATGATGCCCATAGCTTCCTGCCGTACTGGTGAGGTGGTGCTAGTAAATACACCAGGAGTTCAAACGCAGGCCTATGGAATTTTTTTTAAAAATGTGGGCCCAGTCAACAAATCAAAGAACTTTACTCAGAAGCCACCCTTACACAAAACCCCCCACTTTGGTTCAGTCCCCTGAGTGGTTGCTGAAAACAGGTTGGACTGTATTGTTATGTCAGCAAATACAAAAGCTAATCCACAACATCCCACAACCAACAATTAGATGAATGGCCATTCCATCGTGTGTATGCGAAGCACTGACGCCACTAACATTTCAAAGCCTTCCTCTGTCGCCTTTGAATGAGCTGAATTCCAGGCGGGAGTCTTTGTGCAGAAGCCAGTGAAAGAGGTAACTTACTTCTGACAGTCTCCGCACTCAATCAATCCGTTTGTTTCTTTGATGGTGGGATCGTAGGTGTATACCAGGTACTCCGTCTCGCAGGGGTAAAAGAGTTCCTGTTTCCGATGCTTCTGCCCTGTGAGAGTTAAAGGTACAAACACAAGAGTTCACACCAAACGAGGCAACTGAAAACTGCAAGAAGCTTCATGGTAAAGCAGCAGGAACTACAGACCGTGCATCGAGGTTAAGTCACTAACAGAACCTGAGAATGAAATGTAAGGTTAAAATTCTGGTAATCCTTAAATATTCCTCCGCTAAGCCTAAAGTTGGCACTAATTTAAGGAAGATTTAAGGAATACTGCAGATTCTATCTCTGAGCCTTGTAACAACTCTCCTAAGCCCCCTTTATTCATATTCAATTTAATGTATTTTGGCTGCGAAAACAATTGAGGAACATTGTGATATGCAATGATGAAACTCAAGCAGGTAATTAGCCTTGAGTTACATCACAAATGGATCTCCTCAATGATAATCCTTGCATTTGATATAGGGTCTTACCACGTTGTTGAGGCATCTCAAAGAGCTCCACAGGATATACTGTTAAGTGGAGTGCCTGTATGTTGTGGGCGAAATGAGGCAGCTGTTGCTATTAGTACCAATGGCTCATCTTTGACACCTACATCTCACCCATGTGAAACAGGCAGTGTTCCCCAGGTCTCAAGAGTGCTACCCTTATTACATAGTTGTGCTAATATCTTGCATGTGCTGCTTTGGCACTCCCGAAACCAGGTTTTCTTCTGGCAAAACAAGGGCACAGAGACAGCCTGCCTCAGGCTACCGCGTGCTAGGATCAGGCACAATATATTGAGGGACAAGCTGAAGCTCGGCTGAGCCGCAAAGGCCAGATGGGGCCTGACCCTAGCAGAGCCACTCCTGCGCAAATTGCTCAGGGTGCACCCACCAGGTAGCCCATGAGGGCACCCAAAACTGACTGAAATAAACGCGAGGGTACAGAGGATGTAACCAAAGGCTCGAGATGTAACCAAAGGGCGTCCCGAAAATGTATGCACGGTAAACATGTGCGCGTACGGTGCACATCGGGGCGCTTTCCGAAAGTGGCAAAGTGCACCTTATCAGGGTGTGCGCGGGTGCGCACATGTATGTAGTGCACACAGGGGTGACGCCTAACTATTTTAAAGGGAGCGTCCCAAAAAGACACGCGTGCACAACCTGTGTACGGTGAAGAAGCGTACCGTAAACAACACATTTTTTTGTATCAGGAGAAAGGGAAATAAAAAATTAACTAACAGAAGATGTTGTATGTTGTGTTTGTTTTGGAATTCTGTTGTACCGAATATTATATTTATAAATAAATATATATTTTAAAAAAAGTACTGTGCTGTTTTACTTCTTTGTGTGCTACTCTTTGACCAATAAGTGTATGTTACACAGACGCACAACCATTTGTGAAACTAATGGTCCACAAACAGACGCAATTATCAAATCAAACATTTCAGAAAACAAAACAACAAATGTCAGGAATCGAAGAAATCCAGACTCCTGTGAAAGAGTTGCATAACTTGCTAACGTTCAGGACTCATTGCTAGGCTCTACTGCCTGCCTATTGCAGAATGAATCGATTTCAAGATACTTCACTCACATATAAATTATTTCATGCCCAACGACACCTTCCTACCTTTCTTACACCCGACTCCTCTACCCAGCTCCTTTGCTCAGCTGGCTCTGACCTTCTGCAGATCTCTCGTGCCCTCTTTTCCACCATCAGCGGCTGTGACATCAGTCACCACGCCCTGAGACTCTGGAACTCCCTGCCTCAAACCCCTACCGTGCCTACTCCTTGTACGTCTTCAGATCGCATCTGAAGACTTCATCTCTGACTGTGCCTATGGTCACCTACCCTCTCTCCCTGGCTCAGCATCAAGCTTCGCCATTTTAAATGCTCCGAGATGTTACCCTCGTGAAGGGTGCTATATAAATGCACGCAATTGTTATTGTGTCGTTGAGTCTTCCTCACTCACATTATTATTGGGTCTTCCCCACCCACCTTGGCTCCCACTCCAGCTCAGATGCCCAGCCAATACTGCTTGCACTTGGCGACGTCCTCCCGACGTGAAAGGCATTATATGAATGTAAATTTGTATTGTAGAAGAACATCCCATTGATTAATTATGTTGAATAGTAAATTGTAATACAATACGCCCGAGAATAATGGAGATGACCTTGGGAAAGGGTGAACAGAGCCACTTACCAAAATGGAAGACAGACTTGGCTGAACAAGTCACATGATGATTGGGATCAGATGATGGGAAGTGAAGAGATGATAATGATTCACGGAGGAAACAGACAAAAGAAATTGACATTAAGATGATCAGAAACGGTGAGATGACTTTGAAACAACGCTGTGCCTTTGAAAGTAACAGAACACATTTAGTGTTATGATCTTTTAAAAATACAAAGTCTTATTTTCTTTTCTTACATTGTAAATTTATATACAAATTAAGAACATTTGGAATCAATTGATTCTTAGTTGTCAGCATTCCCTGTTCTGGAGCTTGAGACATATTCAAAGTAAATAATACCTTACTTAAATGCTCTTACCTCCCAGACCCTCCAATTTTAAACAGTCGATTAGAATCTATAAATATGTGTATTTACCCTCTTAATTCATTTCTCTTGCTGATATTCTCTCCTTGAATATCCAATTGACTCACATTGTCCAAAAGCTGGAAGGATGAAACATTCTGGTCATGTGCTTCTCCCTAACTTCTGTCGTTAATGTTGCCCAATGAGTGGGCAGTTCTGTGGTTTCCACTCCAGTGCTGCGTCTAATGTTCCCACTCGAGACAATGTGAGACAAGTGCCTATAGTTAGAGGGGCAGCTCACTAATCCTTCACAATCATTTATCACTTTGTATAAAGTGGTGGATCTAACACCAGGTTAGCCTTGATGGGCCTCCTCCTATATTGGAATTTGTAATGATTCTATAGGCTTCAGGCCTCATTTAGCTTGCAGGATTCTTCAGAGCAGTAGTTCAAGTAGGACCACAATTAGGTGGATGCCGGTCCTTCCATCTCACCCAATTATACTGTGAAGCTAAATACAAATCACCAGAAGCAATCCGGAAATAGGTAGGCTGTGTACATGCAATTCTCACTTTAATTTTCAGAGCACTTCCCCTGTTTCGAAGGAAGGTTTGTGCAACCGAGCAGTGCTCAAACTGCTCTGCAATTGTTGCAGGCTGATAGCTGAGCCAGCTCCAGCTAGGAAAACAGGGCAGCTATTACACCCAAATTTTGGGGAAATCACTCTTTGCACTGCTTTCCTCCCATGGGAGGGATAAAGGGTCAACTTGAGAGGTTGTGGAAAACACATATTGGTATAACAGTGCTCTGGAAGTACAGACCATGTTTGTATTGCAGGATTACCAAAGTGGCAGCACTGAAAGATAACCCAATACAGTCAGAAGTGTCAGGAAGGTGAACATGCAGGACATTGCAACCCTTTATGTTATTCCTAATGATTACAATACAAGGCTAGGGTGGAATAAGTATCATCATTTTTTACATACCATCCACCACCGTGTCTGAGTCCCATAGGCCACAGAAGTTGAATTCAATCAAAAATCTGCAAAGATAGTAGGACATAGTCTGTTACTGCAATGATAAGCTCATTTCAGTGCTGCATTCTGACAACTGAGAAATCTGAGCACAGCGAAATCTTTTCCCCACCCTTTAAGAAATGTGCAGCCAAAGATTTATGCTAGAAATGGCATTGTGTCACAATAAACACGACTGGCACTGGGATGGCCAAGTGATGGTAACACTGAGAGACTCTTTCCCGCCAGGTTGATTATAATTCCCTCTCAGTAAGAGCAAAGGATGTTCTAGTCAGCAAGATAACACTTTTAGACCTGTCGCAAGAAAACTAAACAGAAAATGAAGAAACACACTAAAGAATGGCAACAAGCCTAATCTAATCAAGGGTTTAGGCGGTTTGCAATGCTTTTAGCAGAGTGATGATTCTAAGTCTTTAACAATTTTTTTTTCCTCTGGGAAGGAAGATGAGCCGCCACATGCATAATTTTTGTCACGACAATTCAAGGTGCAAATGAGATGCTGTTGTGCACCTCCCACAACTTCATTGAAAACGCACAATTCAATTTACCAAATACTGTTTTTACATAGAATGAATACAGAAGACATATCCCTGCTGCTGAAATGCATCATACTCACGACAAGCTGTGGTACAGTGTGTTACGTACATGAATAAGTTGCTCAAAAGCCACTTCGTAGCAGAAAGGAAAGCATAAAAGGGCTAAGGAAAAAAAAGAAGTATTTATAGTAAGCACTGTTTTCTCCAGAATATTTAATGCGAATAGACGTCTTACTAGACGTTTATTCCCCTCTGTGAAGAGGGGAATAAACACTTGAAAAAGTAGAGAAGACGGGGCTCTTTAGCCTTGAAATGTCTCATGGTGCGGGACAGGGAAACGGGGGCTTTAAAGTAGTACATAAGATGCTTACTGGACAGAAATAAATGATAAATGATAATAATAATGAATAATAATCCTTGCATTTGATATAGCGCTGTATCATGTCGTTGTAATGTCTCAAAGCGCTTCACAGGATACACTGTAAAGTCCAGTGACTGTGTTTTGTAAGCAGATAACAACAAAGGGGATAAAGAGATCTCTTCATCCAAAACTCTTGGGATTTTTATAGATCCAAACACCACATTATAATGAGGCTGCACTGTATTTCTGGTGTCTGTCCTGAACATAGCCCCCACCCCATCTGTGTGGCAAACCATTCTTATGGGTAAACAACTGAAGTTTTAACAAAAAGCTGGAATGGAGCAAAGGTTTCATGGGAAGCTGTTAAGAAGGAGTTAAGTGACTTGCTAAAGGGGCTGCATTTAGAATCATAGAACTGCAGCACAGAAGAAGCCCATTTGGTCCATCGTACCTGGGCTGGCTCTTTGAAAGAGCTATCCAACTAGTCGCACTCCCCCTGCAAATTTTCCTTTTTAAGTACCTATCCAATACCCTTTTGAAAGCTATTATTCTGGATCTTAACAAGTCTCTGGAAAAACATTTCTTGTCTCCCCTCTGGTTCTTTTGCCAATTATCTTAAATCTGTGTATTCTGGTTACCGACCCACCCTCCAAAGGAAACAATTTATCCCTGTCTATTCTAACAAAACCCCTCATTTGTTGTTGACTAAGAAGCTACCTTGTGTCGCTTGTTTTAGTGTATCACCCAAGTGAGATAAATGGCTCAAACCCTGATATGCAGCATTAATACTGATCTGCAGATACTCACACTGAGCATGGGCTGTGCCCCACTGTGGTGATGCTGGATCACTTTGCACATGGCCTGATAATCGTAAAGCTTCACCCTGGAGACAAAAATAAGCACAAAATGATTTCTCCTCACACAGGGCAACATTAATTAAGTTGCAGAAAATCCCTGTAAGTTATGAGTGGAAACAAGCTAGACTGAAATAGTGACAGATTCCAGCGTGGTCCGTGAGAATAAACCAGACACATTATAGACCCCAGTGAAACCCATGTCTAGTCAAAACTGTGATACAAAAACACTAGCGAACATGAAGCAAGAAAATGAAAGCACTAAAAGCACTAAGCCTGTTCCATCCATACAGACCATGTAAATCTATTGTATTGTGGGCTTTACTTTACCATTTCACCTCCTGAGTGAGGAGACCACCTCCTGAGAGAGGAGACCATTCTCCTAATTTCCAATCAAGCAAACTCGTCACTATTTGACCCTAGCCTTTCAAACTGAACTCATTGCAGCTTTCTTTTAAGATCCAGTAGCCCAGTATTCATGGAATATTTGTGGCATAGATAATTGATCGATTGATTTCTTGGCTCTCAGATCCAGTGACTCCCTTTCCAGTTCAACACAGACACACACACCTACACACAGAATCATAGTCACATATACCATAGACATATACAGACACATGCAAACATATATATACATACTTCAAGCCTCAGTAACTGCAGCAATGCATACATATGGTACATTCATACATTGCTTGTGAATTATTGGTATATCAACAATAGAAAATGGTTCATTCATAATCTGAAAGGAAATCTTGGTATATATATCTTACGCATTGAACATTCCCATGTTCACCAGTTGTGTCATGATCGATCCATCAACTTCTCCAAGAAACATGCCTGTCTGAAAGGGGAAAGAGACAAATGTGGAAAATAATAAGTGAACAATCGAATGCTTGACAACAAGTACAGCAAGGTATCAGAAATGCATCTGAATTGTATGAATGATGCTTTAAATCTGACTCTGCAAGATTGTTCTGCAATTAAAATGATAATAGCAAAACTCTTTAATCCTTCTACCACAATCCACAAGTGTGCCCAGACAGTAAGTGCCAAACACCTATTATAGTAATACTACTAAAAATAATAATCCTTGCATGATATAATAATTCTTGCATTTGATATAGCACCTTATCATGACTTTGAGATGTCTCAAAGCGCTTCACAGAATATACTGTAAAGTGAATTGACTGTTTAGTTTGTGGGCAAAACGTGGAAGCCAATAGCGCTCAGCAGTGTCCAACAAACCAAACGAGTGACCAAATTATTATTATTATTTATTTATTTATTTTTTGAAGGGATTATTACCCCCGGAAAAGCGATCCAGCAATCAACTGACAACTGGATTCCTACTTACTGCTAGGTAAACAGAGGCATGTGGAGTAAGGAAACTTGCCAATGTTCTGCCCTGCCAGAGAATCAAACCCAGGTCCTCTAAGCACTAAGCTACAGGTCTCCACAACCATATTCAACTATAAAGAAAACCAGATTAGTGTACCGGAGCAGCAACCTGTTTGATGTTTCCCCTTGAACCAACACAAGGACACCAAAGCCAATAAGGTGACTCAATTGTTACTAAAATCAACTAACTCTGCCCAGACAACAGATGAAATTCTGGCACCCTCCTAGTCTGTATAACTTAATCGTTCATGAGGAGAGATGAATGAGAAATAGGAAGCCTTACTAGTGTGCTTTATGGCAACATAAATAGAGGTCCTGGCACAGGTTACCTACCCTTGTGTGGAAGCCAGGGTGGAAGCCTTGTGGGAGAAGGAAAGGGTGGTAAAAAAAACACACGTGAAGAGGTGATTTGCAAAATTGCAACTCACTGGGGTTTCCTCTCAGTAACCTGAAATGGGTCACACCAACCCACAAGAAGCTCCGCTCTGACATGATCTACAATAAGATTCTACATTTGATCAACAGAGACGTGCAAAGCCAGCTTCAATTGATAGCATACTCGCCTTGGAGTCAGAAGGTTGTGGGTTCAATCCCCATGTCAGGACTTGAATTCACAGTCTCAGCTGTGCATTGTGGTACCCCTGGAAATTAACCAATTAAAACAGTGCAGCTCGCCATTTGCAAACACTGGCAGCTTGTCCAGCTAAGACCACCCTATCTGTTATGTGTTGGGCTTGCAGGGAACTGAGTGGTAAAAATCCCAGCCCTCAGTGACTGGTCTTCTTCTTGAAGTACTCTAACAAGTCAGGCTGACTGGCCCATTGCCTTGGAGTATTATTGTTCGCACAAATCAGCAGCGTCTTGGAGTCGAATTTCAGCAAATTAGACTTCACAGAGATAAAATCACTTTCACTAAATATTTAGCGTTCCATTCGCCACCACTCACATCCTTACCCTTGAGGGGCATAAAAAAACATTAAAGTGAAAAATACTGAACATGACAAACAGAAGTGTGGTGTAATATCTCATAATTTACAGATAATTACTTTGTGACTTTAAGAAAATCATTTATATATCAATATATGCTGCTGAAATACACTCAAGATGAAAACAAAGTAAACATGGACTGCATTACTGTACTGCATTATTAAATGTATTACATTTCCACCAGTCACATGGGAAGCAATATCATGTTTTTGTTTATTGCAAACTGACACCTCTCCGTAATAGAGTTTAGGCAAATATTTGGTTACTGCAGCAAAAGCTTGTTAGCTCAATGAATGACAAGATGCTCTGTGAAGTGCATGTACATATATAATTTCCACGAGAATACTCCTACAATAAGAGGGTATTCTGAATAGACATATACAAATTTTAGCTGATGCATAATTTAGCCAAACAGTTATGTGGGAAGTGAGCTCATTTTTAAATAATACATGTGCCTTCAACAGAGATAATCTCTTCCATTTAGCCTTGTGTAACCTTCTGCAATTCACTAGACCAATTAATACTGCACACAACTCAGAACCTTGCTTCATGAAACACTGGGGGCGGTTCAAGTGTTATAATGAGATTATCACAGCAACAATTGTGTCTGTCTGAAAGATTGTTTTTTACAAAAGATTTCTGAGGAAAATGATGTGTGTGCGATGGGGAAGAGAAAAACCATAACAACCAGGATTTTTGCTGCTTTTCATTATAATAATAAACAGTAATAATCCTAGCATTTGATGTAGCGCCTTATCACATCTTCGAGACGTCTCAAAGCGTACAGAACATACTATAAAGTGTAATGACTGTGTATTTTGTGGGTGAAAATTATCCAGTGACCCTGCCAGATTTTGACATGTTGCCTTCACCCACCACAAGGTTGACGATCCAACCCTGGCAGTCCTCTTTCTCTCTCGCTCTCATTCTCTCGACTCATGCCTGAAGAATATTTAGTTGGGAGAAATTCCGTAGTGTTTCCCAGCCTGTCTAACCACACTGCAGTATGTCATTGCTTCCGGATTGGGGATGGGTGTGGGGTGGGGGGGTGGGTTAGGAAGAAAAGAGAGAGAGAGGAAGTGTAATGGTTAGCTCGCTTGCCTTGCATGTGAGAGGACCCGGGTTCAATTCCTGGTCAATTGCCAGATCACTTTTTGGGGGTAGTAATCCTTCAAAAAAAATGTGGTTACTCCATCCAAGACTGTTTGTGGGACATTGCTGTGTGCAATTGCCTGCCGCGTTTTGCTCACAAAATACACAGTCAAGTCACTTTACAATATATTCTGTGAAGGGCTTTGAAATGTGTCAATGACGTGATGAGGCAAATGCCTTATCAAATGCAAGACTTATTATTATTTACCTAATTGAAATCCTCATTGCAAGGATATGGTTTGAACATATTTTGCATCTGTCACAACGCAAGCATTCCTCAGTGAAATAATAATGTCACTGAAGAACATGGTTCAGGACAATATGTTCCTGGTACAAAGCCTTGTCCAAAACTCTCAAAAGGGTATCTCACCCTCTTTAACAGACTGGTCTTGAGGTCAAAGGGACTGTGTCCATCACTGATGAAAGAAAAGCAATAACAACTGCATCCTTCACTGGTTGTAGACATATTTTGTGGAGATGAAATTCAAACAGATTGTACAAGTGGCAGTTGGAGGTGAGTGTCAAAAGCTGGGCAGTTTCTAAGCGATGATTGCGAGTCCCATGCAGTCCCACTGTAACCACATTTTCTAGTGCAGTCTCAGGACAGCGTTGAACTCACCCTTAATAGCACAAATTACAATAATCACTGGTCTTTTGACATGTGGAGTCCTGTAGCTCAGTGGTTAGAGCACTCACTTTGCAAACGAGAGACCTGGGTTCAATTCCAGGCAGAGCGAAACCTTGGGCAAGTTTCCTTACTCCACACGCCTGATAATAATCCCTCAAAAAAAACAATAATAAATTGGTCATTTTCAATCCACGACTATTTGTGGGACAGTGCTGCGCGCAATTGGCTGTTGCATTTTGCCCACAAATATATAGTCAATTCACTTTACAGTCTATTCTGTGAAGCGCTTTGAGACGTCTAGAAGACATGAAAAACGCTGTATCAAATGCAAGGATTATTATTATTATTAATCTTGATTGTACAAGCGATGGAAGAGATGATTGGACACTTAGACTAACCAATGCTGCTAGTTTATAAAGATAAAGAAATTAGTATGATGTGGTACATACTCAGAGCGAACTGGATTACTGTTCATTGATTCAAATATTACCCAATCCTTTTCAGCATACATTAGCACAGCTCCATTGTAACACTTTCAAACTCTCTTGTCTTCTGAACCCAGTAAAGCCTTTGTCTGCCCATCTTAGAGCAGTGCATCCTACTGCACCAATGTGACATGTTCACCTACACAATACACGGTAACTGCTGTGAAGCAAGTTTGAGATATTTCAATGATCTGAGAAGGCTCTGTATCAAAAGCGAGGATAATTATTATTATTTCTATTTCCTACTTCAGTCACTACTCCTTCATTGCATGGCATGAATAAAAAAAGAAGGGGGATAAGTTCAGAACAAATCTGCGGAAACACTACTTCAATGAAACTTATGCAACAGGCTCCCGAGGGAGATGGAGGAAAGTGTCAAGAACACATTAGATAGATTTCTGTTAGCAAATAATATCTTGGGATACAATATATAGTTTGGGACACAACACATCACGTGACTACCAGGATGGTAGAAGACAAACTGGATGGACCTTGGTTTTCTTTCGCCTGGCAAATTCTTATGTTCTTAATGTTCTAATCCTCACATTTGATATTGTACCTTTCACTTTGGGAGGACATCTCAAAGCACTTCACAAAATTTACTGTGAAGTGCAGTGACTGTGCATTTTGTGGGTGAGCACGGCAACCAATTTGTGCACAGGAATGTCCCACCAACAGCCATGAAGCTAATGACCAATTTTATTTGGGAAATTGTTGGCTAGGACACTGGGAGAAAATCCCTTTTCTTTTTGAACTGTGCCCTGGGATATTTAATATCCACCTGAACGGGCAGATGGGACCTCAAGTTAATATTATCTGAGGGACTACACTTCTGACAATGAAGCACTCCCTAGTGTCAACTGTCCTAGACTATATGAGTTCAAAGATCTAATGTGGGGCTTGAACCCACAAGCCCCACATCTTGAACCTACAATTGAGCCAGGCTTAACCTCAATGTCCTGTCCATCATTCCTCTTACTATTGCTTGTTCTTCTTTGAACGAGTTGTCTGCTTCACGTAATATAAATTAAAGTAAGCAAAATAGAATCCCATGGTATTAAAGAGACATAGCAGCATGGATACAGAACTGGCTCGGAAACAGAAAGCAGAGAGTGGTGGTGAATGGTTGCTTTTCTGACTGGAGGGAAATGTACAGTGGTATCCTCCAGGGGTCATATTGGGACCACTGCT